ATATGACAGAAGGCGAGTACCCCCTTCCCTTTAAAGAGGAAGGTAAACCTCGGTTTGCCTTACATGGGGAGCATGAAAAGAAACAGCTTTTACTTCACTGGCATTGAAAATGGAAAGTGAAAAAGAAAAAAGTAACAAATCAAACAAAAAAAACAAAAACACAAGGATCACTGCTGTCCTTGCTGCTTATTCAATGTCCCAAATCCAATGTCAATACAACCATGCAGAAAGTGTGTTACACAGCAAGGAACTAGGAAAGTGCAACATTCTACCTTTATTGAATTTCTGGAGTTTGCTATTCTCTTCTCAAGGACTTGGAACAATCCAACTTAAATATAATGTATGATTTCACTTAAGCATTCAGTGGAAGGCAAGCATGCAACAAAGAATTTCTTTCTCCGTGTTAACAGACCACACGGCATTGCAAAATGCAAAAGTGCCGTATTCCTATGTCATGGTTCTTGGGGAGAAAGATGTGCGTGTGTGCTGGGCATCCCACGAATGTCAAGACATGCTCCTCAGAAGCCTTGTGCTTGCTTCCTGCACCCCGTGCACCAGGAAATGGGGCACTTTTCAGCTATACAGGATTTCCTGCATGGCCGCAGAACATTGAGCAGGGAACCCCAGCACTGCCAGTGAGCTCTGGGCATACAGCAGGTGTGAGACTCAGCTACAGCACACACACATCCCAGCTAGTGCAGTGCTTCCCAGAGGCACCAACTTCCCCAGCAGCACAGGAGTAGTGAGTCTGATACTTCTGCATGTGAATCCAGATGGAAAGGTCACCCCTGTTCCTGCTTCTCCCTCAAACACAGAAGTGGGTGATGCCAACGTGCTATACACCATCAGTACAGGTAAAGTAAGACTCCTCCACATGACCCAATTCTGCATGGACTCTCACATGTTTACAGCAAATGTTTACAGCAAACCACTAACCCACCAAATGGAAACAGGCACAAGCCACAGGCTGTTCCAGAGAGCCCAAGCTTGAAAACCTGATTAAAGAGAGAACTCACATATACGGAAGTATAAAGCCATCCCAGAGCTCCCAAGGCCATCCAAATGGCACCACAACAACCTGTTTCTGTCTTTGCTTAAACCAGAATCCTTGTTGGGATCTCCACACTTTTCAGACTTTTGCTGGAATGTTTCCCACAGAAATGCTTATATACCACATAACTATAAGGATTCCATAAAAAAACCCCAAAACATGAAAAAATGATTTCCATACAAAAGATGACCCAGTACTACTATTAGGATGAGTTTTGTTACACCTTGTAATTGCAGTGGATTTTAACATTTATATGTAATTTTTATGTCCTTTCACCTATATTTTGAGAAGAACTTTTGAAATATCAAAGGTGGGGCTAAGGACAGCAAGAAACTTTCTTTATAACTACAATGAAACAAAGAAATATGAGACAGAAAAGCAACTATACATGCATTTGTAGCAAAACAGTAATCTATAGATATGTATACATTCAGATGTATACACTGAAATACTCCATACCCTAATTACTCTGCATGCCTCCTCCTTGGCCATTGCACACAACACACATATAAAAACTTGTATTTTTAGACTTAGAAGGCCAGAGGCAAATAAAATTTATGCCTGTACCAAGGACCAAAGAAACTTAGGGATATCCACAGCCTCCCAGTCCAGTCTTTATAACCTGTTCTATTAAAGACAGCAGTTTGGAAGCAGGCCAGATTACGGAAAAAAAAAACTGTAGCACAACTGCTGTAGAAGAATTGAAATGAAGTAAAGTATGAAAACTTCCACGTATATTTAACATCAACACCTAGAATGGGCTAACTTTTCTGTAACTACAGACCCTTCACTGGCAGACAGCAGAAACAGGACTACCAGAATTCCTAGTTGCAGAGTAGGTTCCCCCATTTTAAACATACAGCTTCTTTCTGCAAAGCAAAACATCACCTTTGGAATTTCTGCAGGTGAGAAATTAAGAGATTACAAGAAAAACATCTTTACATTTTTTGCTCCTTCACTGGTTTTAAAAACACAGGTTAATAATGACTGAGTTTATTTGTTAGCACAGTCCAAATAGACAAAAAAACTACACAGTTTAGAAAAAAAGTAGGTATAGGTGTATTTAAACTTTGATGCACGTGTGTAATGACATAAGAGTGTCCACTGCAAAGGCAAACAGACCAAAGATTAAACCACTCCAATATCATTGGAGAGATTTCACGTGAACTTTGACACCCTAGGCCAGGCTAGATTTAAGCAGTTTGCAGTGCCACCTCCTGTGTGACCCTACTCCTAATTCATTCTCTCCAAGATGTCCTCAGTTAATCCTATGCCTCTTAGTACTAGGCATGGTACTTCAGCCTCTTCTCCCAGGCAACTAGCAATAGGAAAAGGACATAGTCTTAAACTGCACCAGGGGAGTTTAGACTGGGCATTAGGAAGAATTTCTTCATCCAAAGTGTGATTAGGCATTGGAATGGACAGGCCAAGGAGGTCGTGTGGACTCATTGTCCCTGGAAGTGTTTAAGGAAAGACTGGACATGGCACTTAGTGCCATAGTGTAGTTGACCTGGTGGTTATTTGGTTATGTGCACCATAATACCACAGCATTAATTGGAATGAATGACAAGATCAGATGTATCTTAAAACAACATTTTTATTTGAGTGATGGTGTCATCCATCCAATGAAGCCTTTTGGTTTTTCCAAGAATGAGAATATTTAAATTCTAAACCATTTCAGGAAATTCAAACATAGGAGCCGCCGAACAATTCCAGTTCAACCACATTTCATAGGCCACATCTCTGTAAATTTTAGCTCATGCACAAAACCACAAATCCGTACATATTCAAAAGATTAAAAAAAAACCAACTAGGCAAAGTAAAGCCACCTTATTCTTAATGTTGTGCACACTAACACGAAAAATGCTGTTCTTCACTACAAAAGGTTGGTTTTAATGGAATATTGTGACTGACATTTGCTTCACACGCATTCTAACTCCAAGTTATGTTTTTCTATAAAAAGAGACAATGCAGCTTAAGTTTTAAAGGTGTTTCTAACAAAGAAAACTTTCATGCAAATAAATTAGAAATCTTTGATGTTGTTACTATACAATAGTTCCTACAGAAGAATGATAGTAAAGGATTTAACTCAGGTCGTTTGAATTATATTTCCCAAAATGCTAATAAAAGTGACATGTTTGAACATACTGAAAAAGTCACAGTCCATCATCGTGCTGTCACATCAGTGCATTTGACTTTTTTTAAAATGTATGGATTATACAATTACTGCCAGGCTCCATATTTTATATATAAAAGCTACAATCTGATTATATGTCCATGCTGAAGTAATTTATGAAATAAGGGTGGAATGACTGCAATGTTACTTCTATGATGAATGCAACTTGCTGTGAATAGTGTAGGAGATTACAAGAGAGACCAAACTGAAGCCTGTAATTGTCTTCATCTTTCATGAAGAGGTGTGACCTGGGAAAAATATAGATCCCAGCATCCAAAGCTCCAGCTTCACGCAAACATCTTGATTACTCATGTTCTGGTATAGGAATGGAAAATTTATAGTCTTCACAGGCCACACCTTCAGATTATTAAGGTAAGAATCACAGGGAATTACATCCAGTGTTTAAATTATATGTTAGTCTGTTATTGTTTTGCACCATCAGCAAATCACTTCTGCCATTATTACCCTGGCACTTTTGGATTTCCATTATTTACTACTCCCTAAGTGTTACCATCATGCTTAGTACGACAGAGACGAACACAAGCACACGACAAACCCAAGGTCTTTCAAGTCTGCATCAGAACAACTACACAAGGAAGCAAAGAGGGCACCGGAAAACTGTGTAAATTCTGAGATCACCACTAGCTACAGCATTCCTTTCCTTTCTCCTTACCTAACACTACATTTAAGATTAACACTGTGGTTCACAGGCCACACTAATTATTTGAAGGAGCAACAGGAAACCTGTTATAACAAGTCAAATTAAACAAGGTAGAATCATAGAATCATAGAACGGCTTGGAAAGGACAGGACCTTAAAGATCATGTAGTTCCAACCCCCTTGCCATGGGCAGGGGCACCTTCCACTAGACCAGGTCGCTCAGAGCTCCATCCAGCCTGGCCTCGGAACACTTCCAGGGATGGGGCATCCACAACTTCCCTGGTCAACCTGTGCCAGTGCTTCACCACCCTCACAGTAAAGAATTTCCTCCTGAGATAACAGATATACAGATAACCTATCCCTCAAAGGCCACCTAGAACAGTAGTTTTGGTTTAACCACCTTTTCTATTGAAGATATATACCCTTTTGGAAATGTATTAATAAACTGCTATGCTATTTATGAGAACATAATCTGCCACAATCTGACAGGTCCCCTCAGCATCTACTAACTCCCTAGATCGTACAAAACCATGTTGAACATTACAAGACTGTGACAGCACAGAAGGTGCTCACGATTCAAGAGACAAACCAGAGAAAGGCACAGAGCTAGTGAAAGGTCTGGAGCACAAGTGCTCTGAGGAGCAGCAGCTGATGGAATTGGGGTTGTTTAGCCTGAGAGGCTCAAGGGAGTCCTTACTGCTCTCTACAACTACCTGAAAGAAAGCTATAGTCAGATAGGGTCAGCCCCTTCTCCCAGGCAACTACGGACAGGAAAAGAGATCATAGTGTTAAGCTGTGCTAGGAGAATTTTGAACTGGATGTTAGGAAGAATTTTTTTATAGAGAGTGTAATTAGACATTAGGATGGGCTGCCCCGGGAGGTAGTGGAATCACCATCCCTGAAGGTGTTTAAGGAACGCCTGGACGAGGCACTTAGTGAGATGGTCTAATTGAAATGTGGTGTTTGGTCATAGGTTGGATTTGATGATTTCAGCGGTCTTTTCCAACCTAAGTGATTCCATGACTGCTCTGTTTAGTGACTGAAGCATAATAAAGGCAAAGCGGCTACAACCCTTCCTTTATTACTTGTTAAGAGCCGCGTACAGAGCTCCTGATGTCACGTGCGTTGCCCCTCACCGCCAACCGCACTACTTCTCAAAGCTCGTTCCCGCTTATGCTACAGCGACCTTCGGGAAAGGCTGCGCGGGGTCGGGGTGGGGGAGGGGAGAGGAAAAAAAAGAGGGGTTCAGGCAGCAAAAACCGCTCAAAAAAGCGCCAAACCCCGCACGCTGAAACCTCAGGTGTCCTCCCGGCAGCGCGGGGTGGAACCGAGCCCGTCCTTGGCACCACCGGCCCCGCCCCGCCGCGCCTGCGCAAACCGACCCCGCGCGGCGCCTCCGGGGCGCTGCCCGGCACGGTGCCCGCGGGCGGCGGCCGACGGGGCCAAGCACCCCCCACACCCCCGCGCCGCCACCGCTGTCACCTCGCAGGGCAGGTGACACGGGCGTCACAGCCCCGCCCGGCCCAGCCCCGCGCGTGCGCACCAGCCCCAAGGAGTGAGGGCGAGGCAGGAGCCCAGAGCACGCGCCAGCCGGAACCGCGCAATGCGGCGGGGCTCGCGCGCTCCCGCCCCGCCCGGCTCTCCCTCTCGCTCTCCCTCTCTCCCTCCCTCCGCTCCTCTCTCCCGATCCCTCTCCCTCTGCTCTGCTCTCCCGCCCGCCCGCGGCACAACGGAAGGGAAGATCTGCGGCGGCCCCGAGGCCGGCTGACTCGGCCAATAGGCGCGCGGGGCGCTCTTCCCGCCCTCGGCGGCGTGTCCAATCGGCGGGCAGCGGGGGAGGGACCACGCGCGGGATTGGGTCGAAGGCGACGCCACCGCCCGCCCACCCGCAAAAAAAAAAAAAACGACGGCAGCGCAGAGGCCCAAAAAGCCCGAGGGGAGACGGCGGCGCGGCGGCCCCGTGAGCCCCCTCCGCGAGGGCCCGAGGCGGCGGGCGTCCCCGCGCCGCCGGGCGGCGGGGCGAGGCGGCCGCGCCGCGGCGGTCAGCGCTTACCGTGCAGGGGGAGCTGGGCGCCTCCGCTTGTGCCGAGCCGTGTCACCAGTGGCGCGCCGTAGATCCGCCGCGCTGCGTCACGCCCGGCGGGGGGCGGGGCCGAGGCGCACTCACGTGACGCGACGGCGGCAGCGGGGTGGGAGTCGGTGAGGAGGCGCCGCTCGTGCCGCCGCGGGCGCGAGGGGCCGCGCGCCCAACGGCCGCCGCGTCACGTGAGCGCGCGTGCGTTGTGTCTGTGCCGCCATCCTGCCCTGGCCGGACATCGCCCCCGGTCTGCTCGGGAAGGGCGCCGGCAGGCGGGCACCGTGGCCCCGAAGGAAGGAGGGAGCCCCCAGCGTTTTCCCAGGATGTGCGTGCCGGTGAGGCCGCAGCTCCGAGCCCTGGCCCGAGCGAGGGCAGGCGCCGCTGGCAGGAGCCAGCGCGCGGTGTTGGAGCTTCCCGAAACTGCGCTTTCCTTGGCGCGCGGCAGAGTCCGGTGTGTGGTTTCTGTGCCCACGGCAGCGCTCGGCGCTGGATTGCCCGGTTAAAACCTTGGGCCGTGCGGGGCTGTGCGTAAAATAAAGTTGGGGTTCCCAGTTTTCGCCCTGCGCCGGCGCCGCAGCGAGACTTAGCTGTGGTCCCTGGGAAAGCTGTCCCGGAGGAGTATGAAACACGGCGGTGACACGCAGCACCGCAGGCTTTCGCGAGGGTTATCGTTCGAAGGGGATACAGTCTGTCTCCAAGCTATACTTAAATCTTTCATGAGATGCAGTTTCAGAAGAGAAACGGCTGAATAAGGCGAGGGGGAGGCAGTGTGTAAAGTATCTGGTGGTTTATAGGCTCATGGAGAAACTGTGATGATGAAGACCCTAATTTCCCCTTTTCTTAAGCTAAGTCACATGATTAAGTATAACAACCAGGTAAAGAAGCGTGGTCTAAAGAGTCTTTGGACGCCTGTGGTGGAATGCAATTACTTTTTCACTGTTGCTTATGATCTTTAAAATGCAGGTTTTACACAGTATTTTTTAGTAGACAGAGTTTAGCATTCTTCAAGGCCGTGGCGCAGAGACGTTTGGAGAGAGCACCTTGTTGTGAATATATTTGGAGTTCACTGATGCTTTCTAGTCATACAGTGTGCACGAGCTTACTAATTAGAACTGACGAGAGTTCTCTTTATCCGATTAGTCACTGACTAATCTCTTAGGTTTATGGCACAGCAATGCCAATTCTGTCACGGGTTGCAAAGACTGGAAGAATGGTTTGAGAACGCAGCCTTTCATCGCCCGAGCCTTTCATCAAATGAAAGTCAAGAACCCAAGAGTTTACCCTTTACCAGAATCTTGGGAAAGATTGAAGTGAATGAACAGGGTTTAAAACAGTAAAGTACCACACAGAACCATCAGTGAGAGAAGGCTCTCTCCTTGTTTTGTACTTAAGGGTTGCAGGACAGAATTTAATCATCCTGCGTGTGATAGGAAATCTACACAGAACACTGCTGAATTTGTAGAAAGATATCTGGGATCTTACACACACACACACACACACACACACATATATATATAGTAATTTGAGGCTGTGTAAACATGTAACATTGACAGTTTTAAGAACGATAATTAAGTCTAAAAAGTCTACTTGTTCTTATTACTTTTCAGCACAGGGAAAACAGGTAAAATGATCTTTTGATGTCCCTCAAACTCAGTTTCTCTGCCATTTACAAATTTCTTTCATATGCCTGAAAAGATTTTTAGGTCTGAAACTCAAGTAACACCAAGTCAGCCTGCCTGGTCCACCAGTTATTTCATCATCTGCTTACTGTGAGGAAACATACTGAAGAAGGTGTGATCATGAGAGGTGCACTTTTGTAAGTTGAGATATTTCTAACAGATGAAGAGAGGCAACGCATTTTAGGAATAGCCTGAAGGGGGAGCCATTGCTATAGGAGAAGCAACAATTAAGGCAGAATTACTTAATAAAAGAAAAAATTTTACCTTTACTAATTTTTTTTTTTATTTTAAGCTCTATTTATTAGGTGTTTACAAACATCCCTACATTTAATATTCTGGCTTAGGTATATACATAATTTTAAAGTGGTGCTGAAATTTAAGTGCTAGTTCTAGGTTCTGAAATACTGATATATTAAAGTTCAAGTAGAATAACTCAGTGATTAGTTAGTAAAGATTTAATTAGTTAATAGATTAGTTTATCAATGGATTGTAAACCCAGAATATATTTATGTGGACTTTTCAAGATAATTTTTCCTAGCAAAAATGTGATCTGATGTTACAAAGATTGGACTGATAGCCAAGAAGTTAAATACACTCCAGTGATAAAGTGCTGATCCTGCAAATGACCACGCAGCAGATCCCTGGAGCCTTCAACACATGGGAGCCATGGATATCTGCAAGTGCACTGAGAGGTGTCTTCACAGAGGCACTTGAGGAGTCAGATGTGATCTTTCATCAGAGCCTGAATAATCCAAGTTATGTTTCTCTAAAGCCAAGTTACAGTCCAGCTGAGGAGTGGTAAGAGAAGTGTGTAACATTTATGATATGTAAAAGTCTAGTAGTCAACCAGCCATCTACTCAGTGTCACAGTAACCAATATCACAAAAAAAATAGTAGTAAATGGTCCTAGAAAGCAATTGTGTATATAGCACAAACAATTAAAGTGTTTTGCATACACAATAGAAAACATGCAAACAGGAGACATCACTTAAATCTTTGTGCGTATAACTTTCTAGATACAAACATCAATATGAGTGTACCAGTACACCAAATCTCTTTCTTTTTCCCCCCATGCTGCTGAATACTGAGGTTACTTGAAGCAGACAACCAGCATTTTTACCCATTAACACCAATGTTTAAGTCTTCAGGCTTTTCCATCCAGAAGATCCCGTGTTAAGATACACCACCACCTACTGAGAACTGCAGGTGGAGATTATTTCTCCTGGAGCCATGCACATCTGAGTGCACTCTGTAGGGGCGACTTGACAAAGGCACCACAGACTGTCATTGCTGGCTTGTTCACCAGGAATGAAGCTAACACAGCATCTCTTCATTGTGATTATGTTTGTGTGTTTGTTTAAACTGTATTTTCTTTCATTCCACTGCTTTTCATTACAAAGTGGACTATATAGCTAACATTCAGTGTCCAGAACCCCCAAAAAGCCAGCTTGAGAAAGGATGTACTTCCTGGATCTTACTGATCCTCTCACTGTGATGAAATGAAACTATCGTTTGAAGTAGTCACTGGAATATCAGGTTGCTGCAAAATTGGGAATGCTAACACTGTCTGTGGAATTTGATGCCTTGTCGTGAAGGCAATAATGCAAGGAGACAAGTAAAGCAGTACTAACTCTTGAATTTCTAAGTATAAAAAAAGAGTGATGCAGACTTATATGAAATTCATAGGAGGGCTCTGCCACCACTTGTTTCTTCACACCAGAAGGGTATGTGTCAGGAGCGTGTCATGTTGAATATTTTCCAGTTTCTATGACAGAGATTACAGTTTCAATTCTAAGCTCAAGAAAAAAATATCCCCTTCAGTTCCACAAATAAAAATACATGGCTAGCATGATCTTTGAATTATTCTTACAGATATAAAAAAAAAATTAAAGAAAATTGTAACTGCATCTGAGGGATGGGGAACATGCAATTGGCTGGCACTTCATGTTATTTCTCAGTTGAGATCATCAAAAGGATTTTGAGACAAGTAGCAACATCAGCATTATCCATGCATACACACACAACATCTGGTTTCTTTTAACTAGGGCTATATATAAGTCTGTCTGGAGGCTGACACTGCCAAAGCTCCAAGGATTTGGTTTTGTTGTACTGTGTTTTTTTAATAAAAATTCACTTAATTTTAATAATAATTCATTGCAGTAAAATGACAGTCATTTATTACCCTGTATTATCTGTTATGTGTGAAGATGTCCAGCATGCCAGTATTTACAGCTCTGCCACTGTATAATTAATCTTTTGGAAACTTACAAAGCAAGTTTCTCAAATAGACAAATGTTCTCAAATATAGACATCAAGACTGATATATTATGCATTAATACATAAACTTTAAGATTTAATATGGTATCAGATCAGAAAAGAACATGCAAAAAAAAGTTGTTACTCCCATGTTCTCATTCCGCTCTTCCCTGGCTGGAATTATTCTTATTTTTCGTGTTCACTAAGTCAGCATGTTATCCACCTAGCACACACATCCAAGTCCTGTTAGAGGTACCTCCACTGAAATAAGAATGTGTGTAAATTGTTAGCTTTAATGAAAGAATTTGCTAGTTACACACTGATGTTCTCAACTGCTCATTGAGTTAGGAACACAACCATTTTTCTTTGCTGTGAGGATACACCTTGTACAGAGTGGACTTTGGAGCTTAAGCAACGTTTTGTGGGGGTTTTTTCCCCTCCCAAGAGTGAAGTTTCTTACCAAATAGAATCCAAATTCCACACCTAGTTATATGTTTGCACTTCCACACATCTGTTTTTAAGTCCACAGAAAAACACAGCTGTCGTTCCTGCCTTGAGGCGTAAGTGAATGTGGCAAATTTCACTCAAAGAACCTGGGTGGAATCACATAACAAAATGGAAGCATGTTTTCAGATAGTATTTGCAATTTTTAAAACTCTGTGAGAGCAGATTAAGTAACTAGGAACTGTCTCCATTGTCCTCCATCCAAACAACTCATTGCATGTGAGAACCAGCCGAAAAGCTTTGCAGGAACTGCTGATGCTCAGGCGGGGTTGGAAAGCCCCATTACAACAGGCAGCAACCTGCTTAGAAAGTAGTGGAAATGTCAGAATGACTTCTAAGTGACTTCAGAAAGAAGAGTCACACTGTAACAAACAGATAATATAGAAATGCCAAAAATAATGTTTCGCCATTGTTTCTGCATGTCAAAACTTCCTAGCAAAAATTCTTTGTCAGCTTTCCCAGTCTGTACGTACATCCAGGGTTGCCCCACCCCAGGTGCAGAATCCGGCACTTGCCCTTGTTGAACTTCATATGGCTGGTGATTGCCCATCCCTCTTAATTTGTCAAGGCCTCTCTGCAGGGCCTCCCTGCCTTCAAGGGAGGCAACAGCTCCTCCCAGTTTGGTATCATCTGCACACTTGCTTAGTATCCCTTCCAGTCCTGAGTGCAAGTCATTTATGAAGATGCCGAAGAGCACAGGGCCCAAGATGGAGCCTTGCTGAACCTCACGTGTAGCAGCATTACAGGAAAAATATTTGCTACATATTTGTTAAAATTACCTACACTATGGAGGTGTTCTTGATACATAATTCTGAAGAATGAAAGTGAGAAGGTCACTGAAATATTTGGCAGTAGAGCTAAGGAGACAAATATGCACTCTGTTAACATGGAACTGTTCATATTTTTCTATTCATATATTTGTTTAAAATATTTATCTAGTGACATACCTCTTAAAGGTATGACAATAACTATAGGTGAAGTACGACTTTTGTTGAGTTCTGACCAATTCTATAGTCACCACCTTCCTAGAAAAGAAGTCTTCTAAAAAAAGCAAGTGGAAAGGAGAAAGGGTAAGAAACTGCAAAATTTTTATGAGGGTCTTAGAAAATCCCATGGTGGAAAATAGCTAGCGGTGACTGTTGTGGTTAGCAGTGAGGACAGTCCCTGGAGGTAGGTGAGAACGAGGGTCCACGGTTACATATACTTACCCATATTTGAGTTCTGCACACACAGGCACCCCATGCACCCAATAGTGAGCCACACAGAGACGAGTTGGGGAGACTCATCATAGTCAGGATCTATGAAATGAGAAGATTGTGTTCAGGAATTTTTCATGCATCAGTATTTAACTTTACAAGTTTCTTGCAGGTGGAATTTTCCAGCCGGAGCAAGGGAACTCGTGTGTCTTCAGTGGCACCAGCCCCTGTGACACAGGCTCCTGTGTCAATGGTAAAGGCACGGTTGCACAATCTTCCTTGTGTAAACATGAACTATGAACTATGAACTATGAACATTCTTAACTATTATTACATTTTGTGAAACAAGCTAAATGCTGTCTTCTGAAAAGAATAACTATTGGGAGTCAAAGTCAAGCTTCTTGGGAGTAATGTTACTGAAAAGGAAAACCATAACTACGTGAGTAAGCCTAATCTTCCACTTTCACAGGCTAAGCAGATGATGACCTGATTAGTTCTCAGTCTCAGGAGGGCTGCTTAACTCTCTATGCCTTCAGCTCCTATTGTCAGCATCTTATTCTCCGTGATTTTAGCTGACACGTTTTTTAGTCTTCTCTTTTGAAACATTACTTAAAGATTAAAAGCTGTATTTATCTAATATAAAAAAGCAACTTGCACACTTAAACCCGCTGGTTTTAAGTGGAAATGAAAATATTCTGATTCATTCTTTCACATTAATAATCAGTACGAAAATATGCTCCCACTTGTGAGTGTTCGATTCTCTACAGCCTAAAAAAAGGGAAGACTTGGGACAATGTACTAGGGAGATGGGCAGACCTTGACCAGCTATGTATAGGCACTTCATGCTATTAGATGTGCTCTGGGGCATTTGGCTGGCTGCCACTCCACTGGCAGTGTTCACACAGGATCCGAGTAGTGTCTACCATCCTAGAGATATATTTCTCAGGTACTGTAGGACATCCCCAGTGTCGTTAGGCTTGCTAATAATCATAATTCATTGAGAACAGCCCTGCAGAGAAGGACTTAGGGGTTTTCTGTTGGATGAAAAGCTGGACATGAGCCAACAGTGTACACTTGCAACACACAATGGCAGCTGCATCAAAAGCAGCATGGCCAGCAGGTCGAGGGACATGAGTCTCCCCCTCTACCCTGCCCTCCTGGACCTCTTAGAATGAGTCCAGAGGAGGGCCACCAAGCTGATCAGAGGGATGGAGCACCTCTCCTGCAAAGACAGGCAGAGAAAGTTCAGGCTGTTCGGCCTGGAGAAGAGAAGGCTCTGGGGAAACCTTGTATCAGCCTTCCAGTACTTAAAAGGGACCTATTAGAAAGATGGGGGACAAACTTTTTAGCAGGGCCTGTTGCAATAGGACACAAGAGATAATGGTTTTAAACTTAAAAAGTGTAGGTTTAAACTAGGTATATGAACAATTTTTTTTGCGATGAAACGCTGGCAGAGGTTGCCCAGAGAAGTGGTTGATGCCCCATCCCTGGACATATTTGAGGTCAGCTTGGACAGGGCACTGAACAAACTGATCTGGTTGATCCTGCTCATTGCAGGGGGCTTGGATTAGATGGCTTCCAAAGGTCTCTTCCAGCCCAACCTATTCTATGATTCTATGATCTTTAAGGACCCTTCCAACCCAAACCCTTGTATGATTCTACAATCAAGTCTTGATATGTCTGTCAGGCTGTCAAAGATATAGATGCTGCTGTTGGACATCTCCACAAAGTTGTTTTCCCCTTATTCAATCCTTAGTAAGAAAAAACCTGAATCAGAATAAACAGGATTTTCTTTTATTTTTAAGTCAGTGACTGGATTAGATCTTGCAAGTGTACATGTATATACGTATAGCTACATACATGCACATGTACACACACAAAGTGTACATACCATTTCTGTAGTTAGGTGGTCAGGATTTGAGACTATCTAATATTCTATGACACGGGATATGGCATATCTAGAATAAGGCTAACAAAGGAAGCGAACTTTAATCCTATTTCTAACACTATTATTGGAGAGTTATCTTTAACTTACTGTGGCAACAAATAGCTGTTAACGCAACCAAGAAGTAACATTGCTAGAAATGTTGTATAACAGTACAGACCTTAGAAAAATGCACACCTTTTTTTTTTTTTTTTCAAAAGGCTGATGAGATGCTGCAAAATCTATAAAAAAAGGAAAAGACAGGGTGGATGCTCGTTCTTGATCTAAGAGGGAAATATTAGCTCTGGATACCCCTGTGGACATGAATGGCTTCCCCGGTGCTTTCTTTCATGGCTAGGAGAAATTGAAATTTTCTGCTATTTATCTCCTCTGGGACTGAAGGAGGCATGGAGATGGTCTGTGTAATTCACTGGTCCCACTGTTTCACGCACATGGTTTTAACTTGACATTAAGTGGCTATTTTAGAGCACAACCTTATTTCAGTGCACTGTTCCGATGGCATCTGTGCATATAAAATGATGCTGTCTTTGCTGACTATATTCTGTTTGACATTGTGAAGAGCAACTGTAGAAATACATAATCCCTTCAATTGTGCTTTGTAATGTTGTAGAACACATAGACAGCATGTATTGTAGTGATATTTCAGAGCAGTTATGTTTCTAGAAACACAGTCTGCATACCTCTTTCATGGAGAAATCTGCTACCTCCATCTCACCAAGCTTTCTACTCTTCGGCCCGAAGTGTCATGTTTATGAGCAGCAGTTTCTTTCAATGCTTTTTGAAGCTTATTTGTAAAGCCACTGCAAATCCAGAGATTGCAATGTTTTATGTCAATGATATGTCTTCAAATGCTTCAGCAAAATTCACTTGTGTACCTCTATAGTGTGGTAGCTTTCAAGCATGGACCAGTCTGCCCTGAGTCCTGTGCAGACATTGGAATACTCACCCCTGCACCATTTGTTACGGTGCTGGTTCCTAAAATGGTTTCAACAGGTGAAGGGAAGTGAGAGACTGCAGAGGATTTGTTCTTCAAGCTGATGATGCACGAACCAGAATCTTCTGATCTTTGGGCTTTTGGTCCTTGTCTTGGAGTCTTCTCTCTTGACATGAGGATGAAAAGTTACACTGCGGTTATGCAGTCTGCAGTGCCAACATGAGTAGGAGACTGAGCAGAGTCCTTCTCTTCCCCTTGAACACGGCCAGCAGCCAGCATCCATAATCAGCTCTTACAGCTGAACTGTGAGTCTCACAGCCCCACGTAGGTCTGAAAATGGGTGTTTATTGAGAATGTGATTTGAAACCTAAGCAGCCTAGATTATAACTGTTCCCAGATGTCTTAAAAGGCCAGCTACTTTTATGCACTTCTCCTAGGAATTTCATGGGACCTACTGAAGATCAGAAGCTTATTTATTTATGTTTTTTAATTCAGCCAAGGCTTTTGTCCTAATAACTTCCCATATTATCTATTCATATAAGTTATATGCAGTACAATATTCTCTTCTATAGATTACACATCCACATCTTTATTCTTGAGGGTTTTTGCAAGGAGGTAGCAGGAGAGAAAGGAAAGATCCCAACTACTTTCTGTAATTTAATAATGTCATTTTTTTAACAGTAGAGATAATACAACTGGTTCAGTTGGTTTGGTTGTGTGTGAATTAACTACATTAGAGTAAAAATCACCTTTTAAAGTTAAAAAAAATCTAGATTTGATTTGGGTGCTTTGTGCTGAATGTTTTGCCTAAACAGCAAACAGAGCTCTCAGGTAGTGTTTCCATTTCAAAATATATAATTTGCATTTGCTTTAATCATCAATGTAAACTGATGCTTTGAAAGTAATTAACAACCAACAGTTGCTAATTGGGTGAAAAAACACCCTTTTGAGGATAGACTTTGGCCAGAACAGATGATTACGAAAACCTTTTTCTACTGTACAAAAAGAAAATCCATGAAGGAAACGTTATTTAGTGATTCTTAAAACTGCTCACAGCACATTAAGAGGAGATTTGGATGAAAAGAAAGGCAGAATCCAGACCTGGAAATGTTTATTTACTACTGCAGTTTTATTGACCTCAGTGATTATACCCATAAATAGATATTAATAGGCAAGTCTTCATATCAAATTCAACAAACTGATGCTATTGCATTTCCTATTTAAAACCTTCTGTGAAGGACAGGGAAGAGATTAATTGGGTAGTGGATCTTTCTTCAAAGAATTACAGAAATGAAATTTTGTATATAATTAGGAGGAAACTACAGAGTTGTGTAATGCTTATATTCAGAAACTGGAATATGAGCTAGGCAGCATGAAGATGGTGATACTACAAAACAGAAATAATTTTAATAAAACAGATGTAAAAATTCCCTTTGTCCTGAATTTTGAAACTAAAAGATAACATCTTCCATTCAGCAAGAATGGATTATCCCTAACCCTATTTTATAGGATTAGGGATAAGATCACTTGACTGACCATATCACAGATGCATGCCATTTAGAAGTATGTCAAGTAATAGCAAGGCATTTACTTTTTTTTCCCACCAATTCTTACCCACTGAATATGTGATTTATGTTTTTCCAGATCAGGAAGTTAGAAAGTTTAGGACTAAAAAAGTGCTTTGCTGATTTTCTTGTGATGCTCTATCAGTTGTTAGTCTCTGTGTGGGAAGTTTCATGTAAGTGCCGATGTAGCTTCGATATCTCCAGGAAAAAGGCTGCAAACAATTTGGTTCCCTTAATATAGTTGTGTCTGTGAAGAAGGAAAAAAAAGACAATGAAGTCCTGTCAGGCTGTTCTGCTCTTAGAATTAGCAACATAATCTAGTGAAGTTTTCAGAGTCTTCAGAGGAATTTGCAAGATTGGTAACCCCAAAAAAGGACCCAGTGCACAGAAATGCTGGACATCCTTCGATTTGGTACTCCTGTGAAGGAGTCACTTCTGAAAATTTTTCCAGTGTTACATCCCCAAATTGCTATTTTCTGTAGCCATAAGTGTTGAGGCTGTAATGAGGGGAAACAGAATGCAATTTGAGAATTACTGTAGTATTCTCCAGTTTCTGCAGTTCAGCATGAGCAGACTTGGAACTGCACAAGTGTTCAGGCAACATGTTGAATAGTGTCTTGCCATGGTGCCTCGAAGAATGAGCAGTGGCTATTTGTGCCACTTTAGGCTATGTTTTATATAATTACACTAGTTTTGGTCCCTGAAATTTAGATACATCTTTATAGCCATTTATACAGAAAACCATCAAAATTTTTACATAGCCATGAGCCTGCATATCTACAACTCGCATGCTTCAAAATGGATGCTGTGACAGAAGAGTGCCCATCCACATCACCGTCTTTCAGACTAGAGGCAAGTTTCATTGCCAGTGAAATGAAAATTGCCAGTGTGATGTATTTGAAGACTGTGTAGACAGTCAATGAAAAGTATATAGCAGTATACGACAGATTGGGAATTTTGCTTTCTACTTAACATAGCGAAAAGTTTGCTGGAGACAGGAGTTTTGGACTGTCAAATGCACAGCAAAGCTTCCCATCCAGCCATGGTCATTCATGGGTACCAAGGGACTTCAGTTCTCCTCCCTTCTCTAACAACACAAACAGACAAATAAAAGACACCTGCTTATTTTCTCATTCTGAGAGTGCTCCCCATCATCAGCTGCTCCAATTGGAAGCATCATCACACTTTTCTGCGTAATGGTCTGGAACATTCTGGCCACAGGAACTGTTGAACCATCACGAATAAAATCTGGGTCTTCTCCAAAAACTGAAATACATGGGAAGAAAGAATTAATGATTAAATGAAATCAAAGTGCTTTTTTTCTGTTACCGTATATTTAAGCAGATAGCTGATACTAAGAGCTTCTAAGTAGAAATGGTTTTGAGTGTGCAGCCAACTGGTTTCACAAATCAGCTGTACTCTACAAACCTCTCGTTTCCTATCAGCACAAAAATAAGTAAATGATGTCTTTTGGCTACTCCTATTAACCATGCCCCAGTTTAGCAAGGTGTGAAAGATGTTGCTGACTTGTTCTATCAAAATCAATGAGATTATAGGGGTAAGTGGCTGTAGCACTGAATTGGGAAACCTCTTTTTCTCTGTTGATGAGGAAATTCCCCTGCACACCTGCAGACACATTAGGAAGTGAAAAAAAAAAAAAAGAAGGAACACACCTGTTTTTATTGCCCTTCTTGCTGCTTTATATGATAGATCATTAACATCAGCAAGCCAGGGCTTTGAACCCAAAGGCTTAGATACTTTCAGTTTGTTTGGACTGTTCCTCTTGGAAAAGACAGCCTTCAAGTGTTCCACCACCTGCAGAGAAAACACTGCACTCAGAAGCTTTCATCTTCCTCAAACTCAAGCTTATACCCACGTTCCCACTTCTCTTGGAAACAAATCAGTGCTAGAAACATTTAGTTTACTGCAAGTCAAAATTTGTTGAGGTGCTAAGAGGGATTTAGTTTACACAAGAGAGGCCAAAGAAAAGGTTTGTCTCTTACCTGTTGTTTCACAACCAAAAGGTCCATGTGGGGGACCTGACGAATTGAGAATTTGCCAATTACTTTTGCTGGAGTGACCGTTTTAATTCCTGGTTCATGAAAAGCTCCTTCAATCCCATGAATAGAGAGAGAAGGGTAACGCCACAGGTGTAGAAGTATTTCTTCCTTCAAAAAAATTTTTTTTGAAAATATAAGGGATAACACTGAGCCATTCACAATTAATATAAACTAATGTGAAGAAACAAGCTTTTACCATCCTAAAATTTGTATTTTGGGAACCTCTGTATTTTAAAGATGTTTGATTTTTAATTTAAACCCATGCACATATATTTTCATTAAAAAAAATACTACTACTTTGAGTCATAGAAAGATTTGGATGATAACAATTTTTCATGCCAAATTAGAGAAATGGAGCATTATCTTAAAGTATCTTGATAGTAAATTTTTCTAGTGCAAAGTAGAATCAGAAGAAGTTCTGATCTGACTGTTTGTTTATCCCAGAACTAATCATGGGAAAAACTGTTCAGCCAGACCTCTCCTAGATGATATCAGTGAAGAAATTCTACTAATGAACATTAAATAATACAATAGGTAAGATGATAATTTTCAGTAACCAAGTTTTTCTGGATAAGATGGAGAGGGGAAAGAAAATTATTATTCTAAGGAAGATAGGAGAAATATATGAATTATCAACTGGTCTTCATGCAGAACCTCAAGGTGCTGCTGCTTTCCTTCTACTTCTGTTTTGAGATTAGATCTTTATCTACACATAAAATTTGCACCACTTCATCCTCATATAGGCAAAGCATCAAAACTCAGACGGTGTAGTTACATTATACTTTTGTATTACTGATTATTACAGTCTAGCTTTAGCTAGCATGGAAGCTTTTTCATGGAAATAAAAGCATCCACGTTAGTACATCTTATACCAGTATAATTATATCAGTGATAAAAAAATGTATCACTCCTTTCCCCCAGCTCCCCCTCTTGTGCAGAGAGATGTTTCAAAGCCAGCCTTTATCTACTGGTTTTTATTTAGAATATAATTTTTAATTTGCTGGTAAGGAGAGGCTTATAGCTTTGGATACTTTTTTTGGCAGACATCAAAATCTGTGTTAAACAAATAAAACCCATGCAAAACATATCTGCCTAAAGCTGCCTCCTGTTTTCAGAGCTGAATACAACTTCTTTCCTACTATGTAACCTAAATACAGATATTTTATACTTATTTTGTGTGGCTGGTTAGGCTTGACAGGAGAGAAGGGGTAGGCAATGAAGGGAGAGCAATACTGTTAGTTTTGCATTATTCCTTTTCATTGATTATTCATCTTTCATGTCACTTTCCCCAGATGCAGTGCCTTATATCTTCAGCAGACTAATTTTATTTACTTTTTACTTCTCAGTGCTACTTTATTTTATTCTGAGTTTGCCATTGACTGAAAATATCTTTCGGTTTGGCTTTATACATAAATGCTACAAATGAGCGATTTAAATTCTTTCTGCAGAGTATTTATACAGATTTTTTGTTACGTTGGTGCCAAAGATGAATTTTTTCACACCACTATTATTTTTATGCTCCTCTAGATCAAATTCAATTGATTTGTATAATTTCCTCTCCTCCTCTCTCAGGGCAGCAACGCTGTCGTAGATTCCAGGGATCTGAATACAACCTGTGGGATCCACAAGGCTGTCTACAAAATGAGATAGAGATATCAGTACATGTGGAACCTATTTCTTCCACTTGGCAACAGTAAGACCTTTTTGCTTCTACCTAGCTCTTTACCAAATTAGTAAACCCAACAACTAACAACTGTTTGCATCCATCAAACCTGATGTATTTTCATACTTATTAAGAAAACTACTGAGCTGCTGTTTGTGTGTAGTGTGTGGTATGTCAGCCCAGCTTCTGACATGAAAACATCATCCCAAGACACTAATCATCATTAAAAAGCCAGGTTTTGTTATATGTGTATGCATTAAACTTGCCAGCAATCCTTAAATGTTCTTAATTGACATGACTGACATCAGCTTAACATGTTTGAAGTCCTGGCCTTACTGATTCCCTTCCTCAGCTGCTGTCACCATAGGTATGTCAAGGTTTGGAAATCTTCCTTCAATTAGACTTGCCTTATTCAGATCAATTAAACATGGTACTGATCTTTGTTAGGCTGATCCCTAGCCACTGCTTCCCAGTTACTCCCGAGCAGTGGTGTGTGTTATTACCCAGCAGAGTTATCAGATCCATCAACGGTTCATGAATGATGCCTCCAAAAGTTCCAGAGTGAAGGTCCTTGCTGCCACATTCAACCTGTACCAAAAACACTGGTTACACATAAACACTCGTCACCTTATTCTTCTGTGAGTGTTTGTTGTCCACAGAGACTGGTGGTTTCAGTTTTTTAAGTGAGACCACAAATGAATAGAAATGATTATTTGTTTCTATTTATAAAATGGAAAACATGAAAAACATTATGTCAGGCACAATACACTTTGGTAAAGAGAAATGGGGCTCTGTTGTCAACCACTAGAGAGAGAAATTCACTTACACATTTCACAGAATGATAGATTATGCTGAGTTGGAAGGACCCACAAGGATCATCAAGTCCAACCCTTAGCCCTGCCCAGGACCATCCCCAAGAGTCACACCATGGGCCTGAGAGTATCATCCAAATGCTTCTTGAACTCTGTCAGGCTTGATGCTGTTACCACTTCTCTGGGGAGCCTGTTCCAGTACCCAACCATAAGGATTCCCCTCTATTCCCTCTTTTGCTTCAGTAAGATTAAATACATCATAAGTGAAACAGTTGCATATTACTGTTTCTAACGTTGGAGAATAAATTCTTCAAGGTGTCTATCCTTTTTATTCAATGCAAAATCTTCATAACAAAGGCAAGAATGTATCTTAATTGTTTTATATTAAGAATATATGTCCAACCTTAATTCCAAATTGCAACAAATAAAAATTTATAGGTCTCTTGAATCATATGGCTTTAGAATAGAGGCATTTGGGTTATTAAATGAGTTTGTTCCAGACACATTTTCATACTTGAGTTTATCATAAAATATTTTCCTGCAACGAACTTGTTTATTTTTCTCAAAACCTCATTACAGCCAACTGTCTAGTAGCAGGCAGAGATCATTTTTGATGTTCTAATAGCATCATTTTTCTTAACCAAGATTTAGAAGAATTGAATCAAGGCTGCCAAGGCTCTTTTTGTAAAAAAAAAAAAATTCATTCTTTTTCAGGCATAAAGGTTAGTGCAGATTTTCCTTTAGTTCTCAAGTTCTGTAATCTTCTCTCTGTATTCCTTTTATGCTTCATCAGGAAGCATTTCCAGATGAGAAATTTCTGCTCCTCATTTTACAGTAGCTCACGTTGGCTGCTAAATATAGCACGTTTGCTACAGTGCACTTTTATTCACTCCTGTCAATGCTTACAAAAATCTTGTGTGGCTTTTAAACCCAAACATCCAAATAAACTGAGTTCCTTTAGGCAGATTCATTGCACTAAGCAGTATCTGCTGCAAAAGGGCAGAGCAGCAGAAGAAATGGTTTTGGAGAGAGTTGGAGGGGGGGTGTGTACGGATGATGCTGCAAGAGAACAGAGTTGATGTGCAGAGAGGAGGATGAGAAGAGAGTGGAAGAGTGGCAGGAGAGTAATGGAATAGGAAGGGGATCAAGGGGAGATAGGTAAGTGGAGAAATGATGATTGAAGACAAGTTAATGGAAGTAAATAAGGCTAATTGAACTGAAATGAGGGGGGAAATCTGTAGAAGCCAAAAGGGATGCAGAAGAAAGCTCTGTAATTGTAAATATTAAGCTTTCCCTCAGTCGTTCTCTGCACGTAGATGTAATTATGGCTACATCACTGCTCCCTGTCAGAGGCTCAGTTCAAATGAACCTGTGTCCTTTACCTCCACAAAGAAGCAGGCATTTCCCCGACTCCCATATGTAAGGGCAGGCTTCTTGTTGCTGAGCCAGAGGTTGTCCGAAATTACAAAGTAATCAACATCAGAGAAAAAGCACTGGTTTTCTTCTTCAAGTAAGTTTTCTAGCCCCAAGGACCCTACTTCTTCCATGCCTTCAATTACAAACCTGAAGTTCACTGGCATAGCCTAAATTAATATTAGAAAAGTCTGGGTGAGAAAAAAGCGTTTTCAAAAATCAAAAAAATAAGCTTTAAAATAGGAGCAGACTGGCTTGATGTAACATTGTGTTAAGAAAAGAAGGATGTAGGATATATATCCTGCTTCAGTAGAACATCCAGTGATAGACACATATAGGTTCCCAGAAAAACTTGTTCTTTTCCTCATGTTTTTATCTACTTTTTGGTTTTGAAGGAGAGTGATATCTTTTTTGTATGTTTTTTCAGAAAATTTTCTGAAATGTTTCATTGGGCTTTCTCTCAGGGCTATTCAATACTCTAATGCCTTTGGAAATTCTAACTGTGTAATAACAGTTGCGTTTTCACAGAATACTTCCTGCCTCTTACTGCCCATGCAGGAACTGTGATTTTCCCAGCTGTCAGAGACTGAAACCGTTAATGATTTATGCATTCTAGGATTGCCAAGGGACTTTTGCAGGCTTCTGCAGGACTTTTGCATTATATCTCTGATGGCCCATCAAAGCCCATCCCCCCCTCTGCCAATCTTAAAAGGTGGGAAAAACCCTTTTACGAGGCCCCACACAGGAACTCGTCGCAGGCCCAGGAGATGTTGGAGGCTTGTGACATGGCCCGTGACACTAACCATGGATATAATAACTCATAACTTCTTTGAGTCTGGGGGCTTCCCTCCTTCACCCCTAACAGATCAAGGCCACCACTTCAACTGACAGACATGGAAGCTGCAACTACCGAGTTTCATCGCTGGACCCCGTGGGCGGTGACTAATACATCTTTCCACTCTCATCTTTTCTTTCTCTTACTCTCCCTTACCCTTATCTTGTATTTCCTTTCTCTCCCTTATGCATTTTCCCCCCTAGAAGTTATCCCTATGCCATATTGTTATAGATGATGTAGATGATAACACCCAAAATGCTAACATACCTGTTCAAACAAAATTGTTAAAACGAACCTTTATATGTTTAAAATAAACCCTACCTATATGTGTTTTCAAACACTGATTATTCACTGTTGTTTCACTCTAATCCACCCCAAGGGAATTACTGATAAGAACCTGGGTTACCCCCTCCCCACTTTTTCTGGGGCGGGTCATAACACCAGCGTGTTGTCTATCACCAGATTTACATGGTGATAAAAATGTTGCCACTGATTCTACTATAACTGTCCTTTTAGCACTCATGAATTTGCATGCCTGCTGGTTGATAAGGATGCATTTCCAAGAGTAATTAGGAGAACCTTTATTATGGAATAGTGGGAGTTGGAAACGCTGACACATCCGTAGGGGATATGAATTTCAACTTAGTTTCCTCTTACAATTCACTTTCTCATTACAGGTTTTAAGATGTTTTGTCTTTTGATTCAATGCTCAGATTAAAGGCAAGAACAAATGTGTAAAATTAAATGAACTTGTGTCACTGATGGTTCATTGACCAGCCACAAAAATTTTAGAAACAAACTGTTCACGAATATTGTTTGATGGCCTGTGGTGTTTTCTAGAAAGGCTTCAAAAGACAAAGATTTCTTTTTGCTTGCTTGTTAAAATGTCAAAATAGCTACATAGTGATTTGAAAAACTGGAAAGATGCATAAAGTCAGACCCACAACCATATCTACTTACAACAACTACTCTTTAGGCAAATAACGTGTGTTTGCTAGCACTTAAGAGACACTGAAGTCTAGTCAGTACTATAGATGCAAGAAAAATGTGCTTTCCAGAACCTTGCAAGAGGACTTTAAAAAAAAAACAAGACTTAATGCCAATTTGTGCCACAAAGTCATAAAAATGGCACAAAACTGTTCCTCGGCACAAAACTGTTCCTCAGCACTCTAAAAGAACATGTAGTGCAAATTCACCTTAAAGGATGCAAGTTAACCAAGTTATAAGTTTAAAATATATATTGGTTTAGCTTTGTATTGGGGATACAAGTATCCCAAAATTATTAAATGATTTGAAGATTACTATATTGGTCATTGTAATAATATAGGCAAATGTTTGTCCTTAGGATATGTCAGTCTCTGAGTGATTGTATTGGTACTTGGTTAATGCACCCATTCAAAGCATTTCCTTTGATTAATCCACTGATGACATAACAGCCCCTTATGTAAGAGCATTTTAGATAATTATTCTCTTCATACAGACACATAAAGTGAAGGTATCTTGTAGGCAGACAAAACCAAGGATCAGCAGAATGTAACAGCAGAGAGGAGTCTTCATGAACATTCTGTGATATCTGTGATTTTACCATTTTAAAAGCTCTCAAGAGAATAGGGTATCAAAGCTGTGTAATGTATGCAATACATATTGAATGCTTCCCCATGGATTTTCCTCCACAGGGCAATGGCAGCAATACTATATTTACATTGCATACAGATTGTTCAAAATAGAAATGCTTAAGGAAAAATTCTTACTGGAGTGAAACCAGTTGCCTAAATGTTGCAGAAGAAATAAGCTAATATTTCAAAATGTGTGTACTCTGTTGGGTCAAAGTTGTATTGTCTAACTCACAGGAATGCAAATACATCCCTCCAGAGATATAATAAATAGTAATAACAAATAATAATAAATGATAATAATGATTATCAATAATAATGGAGTCCTCATTAATACCTACTAGTTTCAAGGCTCTAAATGTTTCCATGGCATTTATCCAAGCTAAGACAGGTCCCTTATTGTCTGTTGCTCCACGCCCATAGAGGTTACCTTAAAAGGAAAGGAGGAATGTTTTTAAGCATTACTTCGATGTAATCAGAAAATTCCAGTTGCCACAGAAGCTGTAGTGATGTGTGAAGTGAGGTGAAGTGAAGCAAAGTGAAGTGTTGAAAGATTCAGGATTTCATTGACTCATTTTAGATATGGTGATGAGTGTTCAGGTGCTTCCCAATGGACTGGTGCACTTTTTTTTCATTTCCTTACTTTTATTTACATCATACTGTGATTTCTGTTGCCTGCCAATTTTTGAGCTTGACTGTTTTCCTCGGAAACTGTTTGCTCATACCAGACATGCCCGAAGAGTTTGCACAGTATGCAACTTCTAGACACATCAGCCAAACCAGGTAACAAGCAGCAAAACCCCTACAGATAAATGCCATGGCAGAAGTATGAAGCTACAAATCTAGGTATGTAACTTCTTTCTCAACCGTACAGTTATACACAGGGACAGATTTCAGTTTCATGTACACTGATAAACTTCTGTAGCAGTCCCCACTGGATACACTGAATGTACACTGGTGGCAGGAGAATTACTCCAGTAAGGCTGTTTGGAATTGGTCCCAGCTGATAAGAAAGGGTGACTTAATGTTTATAGCATAGGCCTGGGAATCAGGATTTCTGAGGTCTTACTTATCTGCTGACCTTGTCATTTTTATTCCTTCAGTCAGCTGACTGCAGTGGAAGAATGATTCCATCAAAGGCGGGGAAAGGGAAGCTCATGTTCTCCCACCACCAATGCTCTTTAGCTCCAGTGTGGCAGGTGGAAGTACTAAAGTGGCATGAAGCAAGAGCAGGAGGTGTGAGGGACGATAATGGTTGATGCAAAAATCCAACAAGAATTTTTAAGCAGAAATGGATTTTCTATTGAACACACTATAAAGCAGCTTTAATGTCCCGAGGCTCCTTCACACCAAATATTAGGCAAGATTTCCACTGGAGAATTCCTCATGCTTTGGTTAAATATACATATAAATATATACATATATACATATACATATATAAATATACCCGCTCCCACTCAGAATCTCAGTCATGCATTCAAATAATGATAAAAAACTTAAGATTATGTACACACCATCGATTTCAGTCAGTGTGTAAGGGTCAGTGTTCCAGCCATCTTCCTTTTTGGCAGGCTGCACGTCTACATGACCATAGAAACATATGGTGGGGTTTTGTGGATCCTTCCCCAGTTCCCCAAGAATCACAGGAGGCAGTGGGAGGTCCTGGCCGTCAGGCAACTGGGGAGAAAGCAATGAAGGAAAAAAAAAAAACCTTTCAAAATAAATGTACAAAAAGCCCTGGAAATCTCAGTATTGAAAATACTTCTACATACTCAATTGGCTTTGATTCCATTTAGTGCACAAATTTGACTGAATCCTGCTCTAACCTATTCAGAGAAACTAAGATTTTTTTTTCCCCCACCTGTTTAGGTTCTGCAAGGACTTTATGAAGCTCTTCTAACATTTTATTGTCAAAAATGCCCTTCTTACTAAATTCTTACTTCCCAGCGCTGGAGAAGACAGAAATGAATGTGTGCTGTAGAGTCTGTTGTGACACTGAAATAGTCAAAAGCCATACAAATTAATTTGGGGTTTGATTTCAGCACAGACAGAGAGCAGGACACCTATAGCCTCAAATACAGAAACAAAATGAAGTGTTGCTGGCAGGAAGCAGCAGCAGCTATGTCAGACTGATTTGAAAACAGGTTAAGGCTCTAAACTAATCCTGTAATGTACCTCTGTGCACAACAGAGTTCCTTATGGCCCAATTGCTTTCTTTAAAACTATCAAACTACATAACCTGAAATATTAAAGTGTTGCTGTACTATAAGGTCCTTGAACTAAGACTCTCAGAATCCTCCCCAGAAGCCTCAGAAAAAGGAAAAGGGAATCACTATTATTGAACTTTTGAATTCCTGTTAGAGTAGAAATGTCTGCCCAGGGCAGAAAAGAGCCCCCAGCTACAGTAAGGTAAGTAAATTAAAGACAAAGATTTCTCAGAGATTAATTTTTGCTTTCCAACAACCATTAAGAAAATAGCTTGCATCATTTGCCGGAAGCTCCCAAAAGCAAAGATGATACTTTAGATAGATAACCCTGTCTGTCTGACAATATTTTCCTTGCAAAAGCTGCCTCTCTCATATAGAGACTTCAGTAATGAATGATGGATTAATGCCCACACTTCACTACTGAGAAAAATGTGAAAACAAGCTCTGGTAAAAAACTCAGTCCTTTTACTTTTGCAAACTGCTTCCCTCCAGTTAAAAGTATCAAACTCCCTGCTGCAGAGAACATCTATTTGCATTTGGATTGTCTGTGTGGTTCCCAAGGATGTTCTCAGACAGTCTGGGGAGGGACTGATTTCAGCAGATATCGTGTAGGTACAGGACTATCGATAAATTGATAGCTAGCTACCAAAAATGTCATAATGCACTGAATGCAATAGGTAGACCACATGCAAATATGATGATTTAAATCCAAGAATCAGACAAGCACCTGATGTGACCCCAGGTTTACTAAATTGACAGTGGCTCCCAGTGCTGCAAGTCTGTCTGCTGCCAACGCCATCATTCGTACTACTTCTTTCCTCAGATCTGGTTGAACAGAATTGCTTTCCACAGCCACCCATTCCTTAAGATTCTGCACAGGAAGAAAAATGCAGTTAGAAGACCCAGAATGTTATAGTGTCTTGCCCTTGACATCTGAAATCTCACATTGGAAGATGGTTTCCTTTCTGTATCATCAGAGCAATGTTGTAGATGCTCTAAGGTTTCAGAATAAAGATTAATTGCTTATATGTTTCCCCAGGGTTGGGATTCCTGATTTTCTAAACAGGGAGAGTGCTCACACTAAGGCATTCACATCATCAGATTCCCGATTTTCTAAAGGGGGAGGGTACTCACACTTAGGCAGTCACATCATCAACCATGGATTTAAAATCCAGTGGAAGAGGAGGTAGATGCTGACTAGTTTACATTGTAATAATTGCATTGTATACGAGCTACCTTAGTGGCCCTCGTAAGGATTCAGAAGTGCTCGTAGCTTTAAAGCATAACTGATACTGACTGGACTAATTATGTTTCTGCCTTTTCCCAGCGGGCTGACAAAAATGAAAGCACAAACCAGCATGGGACCAAGACTTCTCTCCTTGTCAAGAGCAAACCTACAACAATCAGTTCTGATGTAAAGCAAGAGAGCAAGCATCCTATCTGGCTTGCATCTACCATGCCGGTGCGTTTTTGCTTAGTGGAGCCTCTCTCTGCACCCGCTCAAAGGATGCCCACAACCATCTCTTTTGTGGAAGTCCATGCAAATCCCTCTTTCACCACTAGGGTCCCCAGCACAGTCCATCCCCTTGCAGCCTTGCTTTGTGAAGTGCATGTTGCACTCTTGATGCCAGACCTGGAATGCTGCTCACTACCTTAGTGACAAACACTTCTCCAGAACATAGATCACAGACCTCTGGGGTACCAGCTCTGTACTCACCATTTCATGGCAATATAGTTCCTACCTCAATGAAGTCACTTTGATGTGCATCAGTGTACTGGAAGATCTCTATCTCCAGAGCTGAAGTGGATGAGGAGGACATTACTGCCTTAGTGAGCAACACAGGGGTGAGCTGAATGCTGTCTGAAAGTTTAGGATAAAATTCAATATGTTACAGACATCAATATGTTACAGACATCATGCACTTCTTTTCAGTGCTAGAAAGCATAGACAATTACAAAGTGCTGATCCTATTTAAGTCTCATTTAATCTCTTCAATCCAGGAGAAAGGGTACTTGCAATATTTTTTTCACATAAAACCTTCAATTGACTCATAGTCAAGTTGCTGAAACAAAAAATTGAAAAAACGACCAAAGAGTGAGCAGCTTTACAGTTTCTACGTTATAAGTAAATTAGGGGAAATATTTTCTAAAGAAGCATTTGTTGCATCAGTTTTCAATGCACAAATGTCAAGTTGAATGTTCTGGGAAGACTTGCACCCAACACCAACAGCCTAGGGGACTCGTCTCTCTTTCTTCATTTCCAGAATCATAGAACATCCTGAGTCGGAAGGGACCCACAAGGATCATGGAGTTCAATTCCTGGCCCTTCACAGGATAACTCCAAGAATCACACCATGTGCCTGAGAGCATTGTCCAGGCGGTTCCTGAACTCAGACAGGCTTGGTGCTGTGACCACTTCCCTGGGGAGCCTGCTCCAGTGCCCAACCAGTCTCTGGGTGAAGAACCTTTTCCTGATATTCAGTCTAAACCTCCCCTGACACAACTTCAGGCCATTCCCTTGGGTCACTGATCACCAGAGAAAAGAGATCAGTGCCTGGCCTTCCATTTTCCCTCACAAGGAGGTTGTAGACTGCAATGAGGTCTCCCCTTGCTCTCCTCTTCTCCAGGCTTAACAGACCAAGTAACCTCAGCTGCTCCTCCTGTGGCTTCCCCTCGAGGCCCTTCACCATCCTTGCTGCCCTCCTTTGGACACTCTCTAAGAGCTTAATATCTTTCTTATATTGTGGTGCCCAAACCTGCATACTATAATCAAGGTGAGGCTGCACCAGTGCAGAGTAGAGCAGGACAATCCCCTCCCTCGATCAGCTGGTGATGTTTTGTCTGATGCACCCCAGGACATGAGTGGCCCTCCTGGCTGCCAGAGGGAGGGAGAAAAATGAATGAACTAACACACATTTCATATTTTACATGAATAAGGGAGAACAAGCCTGATACTGAAAAAATAGCTTTTGTGTTTGAATAAGAACAGTGTCAATACTGAAACACTTAATAAGTGCAGAAGGCATTTAGTACTTGCAAACCTCTCTGCCATCTTGTTTTTGACAAGGTAAGTAAAGATTTAAAAAAATAAGATTTTAAAGTGTGTTTTTCTTCATTCCTGCAATTTCCCCTCCATGTGTCCTTGAAGTTGTTGCTGTAGTGTCTTAAATTGGTAGAGCAATACTTGAATGTTAGATGCTTGGTTGGGCTAAATTCAGAATAGCTGCTGTATTGGGCTGTGATAGGATGGACTCCAAGGTCAAAACCTAACACTTTTATTCTAAAAATATTCTATACTGGTAACAAAATGTGTAGTTTCAAGTCCATCCATAATTCCTTAACTTTGATGCATCACTAAGGTGATAGCCTATGGTAATATTAATAATTTCAATTATGTTTCTCTGACAGAGAAGAAAGATTGAAAACCCAAGCATGATGAACAAGATGAGGGAAACATTGTTCATTTTGGCTAGAGATCCTGGCTGTATGAAGGATGGGCCCCATTTTCCAACCTTCCCTTAGAAGCAAGGTTGCAAGGTTTACTTCACTTTATGAAGTAAAGCTTTGAGAAGGCCTGTAACAGTAGATGTTATCCCTAGTGTCCATTTCCTGAAATTGGAAACACTGGTATTTAAAGTGATCAAATGCTGATTTTGCAGGAGAGTGAAACTGCAAAGCACTGCTGTGGAGATGACTTGTTAACTGAGAGAAGAAAATCTAAATTTGGGTGTAATTTTTAAGATGAAGAGATTAAACGTAGGCATATTATTTAAATGTAGAACTATTTTTTAACTACTAATACATGCTGAGGAAAAGAAACCCCATCTTAAGTGATGATCAAAGTACCATTTTCTTCTCACATTGTTTTCTCCATTAAAAGGTAAATACTACCTCCAAGAGGTGGATCTAATCAACAACCCCCTTCAGATATTATCATCACCAGTCACAGCAGCAGCAATTTGGCCTAAAGCAAAAGGGATTATTACAGGAATTTTTGAGGCAGCATGGAGAAAAAATCAGGACATTTCCAAAGAGACAAAGCAGCTTCTGGGATTTAGCAACAAAGATGTGGTGGAGGATGAGGTTTTTATAGCTTAGATTATAGTCATTTCTGGATTGAACTTCTGTGGGTAAGGTTTAACAACAGTTCTGCAGCAAGCACCCCAGACTTTAACACCCCAGTCTGGCTATTTCTTCCAGCCTTGGACTGTGCAAGTGGCTGCAAATATTTGGCAACTGTCCATTTTACAGAGGACAATAGGAAGTAAGAGCAAGATCACAGAAATGGTCAGGAGAACTTCCCAGGCTGCACAGGACGGAGGAGAGAGGACCGGGAGTCCCAGACTGGGATGGTGCTGACTGGTCCCTGATGAACTGAGTTTCCCTGACACAGACAAGATGCTGGCACTTGCTCGGGCAGTGCCTGGGAAGATACCTGAGCCGAAACACTGCAGGTCATGTCTGAAAGGGGCTCAAGGTTCCTTGATCAATATTAAGTAAAAGCTGACCATTTATGTTTGCTTCTCTTTTTGTTGCTGTGTGCTTTTGGGGGGCCAGGCAATGTGTGATGTTGCTCAATCTCACTTTAGCCAGCAGTGGGTTCCAAGAGAGCAAAGTTATCTTCACATTGGCCCTTTTGACAGATAGAGTGTATTCCACCTGTGAGCTGCATCCTGCAGAGGGGAGCTGGTTCCCACACAAGCTGAGGAGAGGATGGGACCCCGACAGATGCATTTGTGAAGGGCTCCAAAAAAGTGCAAGGCATCGTGCCTCCAGAAGAGAGTGATAGGAACAGGCATTGTACAGTGTGGTCACTGATCCAAAAATGGGATGAAAGCTAGTTTTGCCATGGGCATTGCAAACAGACAAGTCAAGAGACCCCAGCATGTGAGGGATTTAATCAGGTATTCGTCTAAAGAGACTTCAGGGCCATTATCTTCATTTACCACAAAGCCTTCTGGATGCCTCAGTTTCACACATATTTCACTTAGCCTTTATACCTTTCCATTTCCAAACCTCAATTTGGAAAACATTTGCAACAGAGGCCACTGAATGCACACTCATTTAACCCTACTGTAAAAAACTAGACAGGCTTCTCCAGGTTCAGTTATATACGAAGTAGACATTTTGGTTATGCCACAATTGAACAAGGAGCATCATAGCACAGGTCAGAACAGATTACTGCTAGAGTAACCAAACTCATGCAATGGGTTTAAGTATCAGTGTCTCCAGTCAATATGATTTTACCTCTTTCTAATAAAATATTCAATTTTGCTGAATTCTATGCATTTCCACTCTAAAAAGAATGAGTGTGTATATATATATATATATATATATATGTATATATGTAGTTGTCACCTTATGGTGACTTGAATAAACGTGTACCTTTTAATATCAGAATCACAAAATGGCTGCTAATACAGGGGACATATGCAGTGGTGATGGTATCTTTTTCTTTTTATCTTGGTTACGTGCAAATGACCTGGAAAGATGCAGACAAGAGACAAATGTCTTCATCATGTTTCATTAGCATCTAACAGTTTAAGGAAAATAAAACAAGGAAACTAAAATGCTGTGAAGGAAAAAAAAAATAAAGCAAACAAATAAAATATTCTAGGGATATTTTAAATTATTCTATGATATTTTTGAAACAGACAAACTTCAAGAAAAGCTTATAGAATATCACAAAAATAGTCTCTTTCATAATTGAAGGTAAGTATGAACAGTGGCAAAATTTGGAAAATGAATATGAGGACATACAGATTAGCAGAGTGCACAAATTATTAATAATTCAAACAAGAAATGAGGTAGCAGCTACATTTTGCTGTACTTGAGGGAGGGAGGGGAGTAGCTGGTGGAACTTCATGGTAATGCACTAGTAATACACAGACAATGCTGCTCAAAAGCATTTGGATTGCAACTGGAAAAGCTTATGTGTAAAAGAGAGTCAGTTTAATAAAGCTGTAGAAAGATTTCAGGCAAGGCTAAAATAGCTCAGTGTTATGAGGAGGGGAAAAATTATTTGAAAGGATAATAAAGCCAGGAGTGCAGGGAACGTCAAACAAAGACTTCAGTGTTCAGTTTCAATTGTATTTTATTTGATGTCATTTTAAGGAGCAGTAGCTGCTTCATAGAAAAATGTAGTATGCTTATTTCTAGAAATAATATGTGGCAGTCAGTTGTGCACTTTCTCTTCCTTCATTCCTTAGTAGTAAGAACATTTTGTATCTCACTTCCTCTCATCCCGTTAAGCACTGTTAAAAGAAAACTTAGTGTTCTTGGGCAGTCATTTAACAAGAAATCCAAGTTGATTTTTTAACTAGGATGACTCTTTGATAAAATATCAACTGAATGTATAAACATGTGAGAAGCAGCTCCTGAATGTGCTTTGATGCCCTCCTTGTCACTCCTGAAGTGTGTGCTTCATGGGCTTTTCTCCCTGGGATGCAACACTTCAGGTGTGTGCAGAGACAGGGGTGCCAATGAAAACTGAATGTTTTGCAACCAGCATAGAGGAAAACAAAGTCAGAATTCACCCAGTTTGCAAATAACATAAAGAACATTTGACATGAAAGGAAATAAGGATGTGAACAGCAGTAGGGATTAATTTACCAAATCAATTACTCCATTGAAAGGAACATTCCCTCTGAGCAATCATGTCAAGGAAGATAACAGAGAATGGGGTTATTTAACTTTCTTTAACAACATTCATTGATAGGTGGCATGCCTTTGTGGAAGCAGGCAATCAAGCCTTAGTCACCTCTCTAGCTGACTAGGTGAGACCCTTGGAGGAGGAGGAGCAGGATGATAACTCTTCATG